GGGGGGGTGAAGAGGTGAGATGGAAAACTGTGCGTACCTACGGAAAAATCCTGGCTACGCCCCTGAGGAGGTAATTCTGATGGGAAAACTCGGCTATTCTATCAGCGGCTTGAGTATTTTGAGGACTTATTAGCATGTTTTGGTGAGATATGAAAGGCCCTGTATACTAGAAATTTGACAGACAATCTCACGCTGCATTTGTTATTCTTTAGATGATGAGCTTCTTAAGAATGTTATCATTCCTGGATCGGAACTCTACGAAAAGATGACCCAAGAACTTAATTGTGAAGGACCTTGCATCAAAAACTGGACACATGTGGCATCGAAACTGGAAATCCCATCTGATGTTTATCAAAATTTTGCTGACTTTAAACAAACCAGAAAAAGTCCTACAAAAGAAATCCTGGAATGGGTGGCCGCTCGGTTCCCTGAAAAGACATTAAGTGATGTTGCTAAGGCATTAGATGAGATTCAGCGAAATGATGCTATTCAGATAATATCAAAGCACTATCCAGTCACAGTTGGTGAGTGCACTGTTGCTTAGAGTATCTTTTGGGTCTTTTGTTCGTTTTTCATTTAACTAACTGCTTAGAGTCTTTTGGGTCTTTTGTTCGTTCTTCATTTAACTTATCTCTTGGTATTCTTACAATTGCACCATCAGCCACTGTCTATATTACTAATAGTATTTATTTCTCAAGTGCAATTAGGGGTCTTGTGTTTGCAGGTTCAGTTGATATCGTATGTTGAACAGCATGAGCTCTAATGCATTCCATGTGCATTGCATGGTTCAAAGAACCCTGCACAGTCTTTATGGCTAGTCTAATTTAATTTTCAGATTCAGCCCTAGAGCAGCTAAGTTGCTCATTCCAAGAGAATTTTACAATGCCAGATCCAACCGGTCAGGTGCTACATACTGGTCACAAAAGGGCAGAACATGGTTCTCGTCTCAGTCAAGGTAAAAAGAACATCATTTCACGATAATAATAATAATAATAATAATAATAATAATAATAATAATTTCATATTTATATTGCGCAAATTAACATGTGGATATGATCAAATGTGCATCACAACACTTTTTGGGGGGACTTTGGCCGGACTGCATCAGCAGTTTACAAACAATCGAAGGAAACTTATAATCCCGTAATTTGTGAATGTGTTGTTAGGAAATGTGCTCTAGGTCCAGAACTTTCCACGATGTTGTCTGTCAATATGCTTGAATTAACGCTTTCAGGAAAAAGCTCAGAATAAAATTAATAATACTTGAAAAAGGTATATTTTAAAGGATTTCCTACGTACATTACACCAGAGAAACAATGATGAAGGCGTTATAATTATATCGCAGCGTAACATTAACTCCTCCTCACTCGATGTCTCAAACAATCTCAGTCAGAATTCCGGCATCTAAGGAATTATGATATTAGTACGCACTTATTCACAGTCCACAACAAAGGGATATCAAGCTTTCATAACCGTCATTGATGTATTCTTTATTCCTCATTTAGATGTAGAAGTGAAGAAAGGATTAGGTTGCTATAGAGGTTTGCCAGATCGAACAATTTTAGTGGGCCGCGATGATGTTTGCGAAGACATAGTAAATGCCTTGTCTTCGGAAAAGGCTGTTGAAATTTTCGCACCGCCTGGATATGGAAAAACATCCGTGGTAATTGAGGTGGCTCATAGGATGATTGAAGGTGGAAAGTTCGTGGCATATGTTAAACCACGAGGTTTCAACTGTGTGGAGGACTTAGCCAGCAAAATAGTTGAGGCTTTTGGATTTTTTCCTGGTGAGAACCCAATAAGTGAAGTATTCCATAGCATCTCTTCCATGAAGAGAAAGAATGGGCTACTGATTATTGAGAACATTGACAACTTGCTGCATCTTGAGGATCAAGTTAGCAATTATGATTACCACCAGGAATTGAAATCCAAAAATTACTTCAAGAAAACGTGTGGTAAATATACCAAAAACGACTTTCTTACCTTTCTAAAAGACATAGGACAAACATCAAAGATTCAACTTATTCTTACATCCAGAGAAACCTATCATTTTAGTTCGTATTTTCCTACGAAACTGATTGATTTAAAGCCTCTAAATGAAGAAGATTCAGCCTCCATGTTCACAAAGTGTGATGAGAGTCTTGACGACGATGTGATTGGAGACCTAGTCAGAGTTTCTGGTGGTATTCCCCGGTTAATCTGCACACTAATCTCGACTCTGATAAAAGAAAATCCTCAGATGTTGGCTCAAAGACTTTCCACATCTTCACCAAGTGCCCTTGTTAAAGAACTGAGCCCTGACTTTCTAGCTGATGAGGATCGCATTGATAAATGTCTTGAAATCTGTTTTGATCGCTTAAGTAAAGAAAATCAGAAGATTCTTGTCGTGACCTCTGCATTTCCATACAGATTCACCAAAGAGCAATTTGAAAACGTCTTTGGGTCATCGGTAGTAGATGATTTACAAACGTGTCTGAATTGCCTTAAGCAAAAGAGCCTCCTTCACTACGACAAAAGAAGTTGCCAGTACTTCTTCGATCGTTTCATTAGAGATTTCTATTCACTGAAGCCTGATCACGTAGAAGCCAAATCAACTTTCATTCGTCACTACAGTTACTTGGCTGTTACTCTTTGCGAAACATTCTTGACTAAAGATTGTAAGTCGGCAATTGATCAGTACAGATCTGAAAAGGACAACATTCGAGAAGCTATGACCTGTTGTGGAGACGATCATTCTGAGCTTGACCAATCCGTAAGGGAGAGATGCATTAAGGCCCTCAACAAGGCAGCTGTATTTCTTGCGAAAGTGATGCGCAAACAAGAGTTTCAGTCCCTCTTTTGCAAGCTTGCGTATCTTTGCCGCTCTCACATGCATCTCTACAGCGCTTGCTTGACGAACATCGGAATGAAAATAGTGGCAAGCTGCACATGTACCCCTCACATTTGTTCAAGAGCCTTGAGTCAAGCGAAGGAAATTTTAATTGAGGCAAATGACATTCATTCCACACTAACGAACGTTAAGGACACCACTCGTGCCCAATGCTTGAGCAAGCTTGGATTCTGTTATGTTCGCGAGGGGCGCATTGCTGAGGGCTATGGATACCTCAATAATGCCTTGAAATTGCGGAAAAAGAGAACAGAGGAATTAAAGAAGGGCAAAGACCATGTCATGTTAGCCGCATGTTACAACGATTTAGCAGGTTGGTGGTAATTTCATTTCTTAATGCTCCCAAGTGAAAGATATCCTTATAAGAAGTATGAAGAGCAATCTCAATGAAATCCTTGCTGTAAAACATAGGATGTAAGGTCCAGCAGTACCTTGCATAAATTTGACTACGAATACAATTGTTAAAGTATAAAGCTGAAATATTGATGCAACATTTAGCAAGGGATATCGGTGACATAGCTCTTTGTGTGGCAAGAGTAAAACGACCGTTTTCGTGCCCCACACCAGTCCCGTAAACTACTCTCGATATGTAAGGCTATAGAAGGTCTAACTTGGCAGTTTTGAAAATAAGAGGTTGATCGGTCGACTTCGCACCCTGCTGGTTTATTATTTTGTTCTGTCTACAGCTTCTCAAATGGTGCAACGAAACCACATGCTGGCTATCTCTACAAGAGTAGTAAACGTGCTTCCTGTTTATGAAAAGATCCTTGGTGACCACCCTTTTACGGCAACCACTCTTAATTGGATTGGTAATAGTTACCACGCCTTGGGTAATTATGACAACGCCATTAGATACAACAGGATATCACTTTCAATCCGAAAGCAAATGTTGGGGGAACATCAGGAAACTGCAAGGTCCCTTTATGATCTGGGGGTGGCGTACAGCGCGAAAGAAAAATATGAAACGTGAGTAAACAAACTTGTCTATACATTCTTGAGCAATATCTAGATCTGATACCTTCCAACAAAAGGTTTACAGCAAATGAAGGTGTAACCAGCCTCAAGGCAAGCAAAACATTTATCCTGAGGCGCAAATGATCCCTTGAAGATTTTTTCGTAATCATTGTAACTCTGTCAAAATGTCAAGTTCACTTGGATCATCCACCAGTTGAAGGTTAGAGGAGCACCTTTAAGTCCAAGAGGAGGAAGTGAACGTTGACTTAACGTTGACTTGACGTTGACTTTTTTGACAAATGAACACACGTGGTGTGTTCATTTGTTACAAAAGGCCATTTTTAATAGTCGTACATTAATCACAAAGTACCTAACAAATGTATTACCTCTTTACGAAGAAAAACATAAGAAAGTTCATTATTTGACGTTTTATCTCTTTTAGCGCTCTCAAATTCCTTGAAAAGGCAGTCAATTTACAAGAAAAAGTATTAGACACACAGGACGAGCTGATTCACACTCACCAAGCCATGTCAATAGCTCTTCGAGGTCTTGGAAGAACGAAGGAGGCAGAAGAAGAAATGAATCGAGCGAGAGAGAGTGCGAAAAAGGCCGATTCGTTGCAGTCTCCTCTAGACAAACTGAAGACCCAAGAACGAGGGTAATAAGTTGATCGGTCTGATATTCGATATATCAATTGAAAACAGATAATCAAGCTTTTAATCACCTTGCAGTTTTAGTTGGTTGGTTTTGTGCGTCCGGTCAGTAAGGTGCTAGTCTTAAAAAATTCTCTCTGTCTTTCTCTGTCCTTTGTCAGGAATCCAGTTAATTAACATATTAATCAATCAGTCGGACTGTTTACTTCTTAGAAGTAAGTACTCACGATAGTATCCAAAACACATGAGAATTCTTATACAAGCGACAGAACAAGGAGAGAAAAAATTAACTTACTTAACATGACGTACAAGGATTGATTTTACAATCATCGATTTCTACACACTATGAAGGTAAAAAATTGATCTCTTAAGGCATTTTTTTGTTAATTTATTTTTGTTTCGTTCCCGTCGTGACCGTTTGTGAAATAAAATTTCTCAAAAGGAACTTTAAGAGAATATTTGTGTGCAACTCCGATTTCGTATATTTTATCCTCTTTATCCTCCTAACACAGAAAAAGTGACAGATGCGGTTTATCATTGTAAGGCAAGCTGTGTGGGAGAAATTGAACGGTCCTTTAAAACACGGGGAGCGGGGATGGCGCGGTGGTGAGAGCACTCGCCCCCCACTGCTGTGGCCCGGGTTCGATTCCTTGACCTGGCGTCACATGTGGGATGAGTTTGTTGTTGGTTCTCATCCGAGGGTTTTTCTCCGAGTCCTCCGGTTTTCCTCCCTCCACGAAAACCAACATTCCAAATTCCAATTCGATCTGGAGTCGAATGTTTTTAACATGAGCCATCGTCTCGGAAGATTGGGCCACCACTTACTCTATTATCGGCTTTAAATAAACGATTTATTTTATTTATCTAACACCGCAGGCTAACAACAAGGGGTCAGCTTCGAGCCTTCTAAGATCTTGACGATTGAACCGAAGTGGTTCGAAAGGGCTGTGAAAGACGTGATTAACACAAACAAGACCGCCTTACCCTTAATCTTGATGGGGGAAGATACAATCCTCCTGCAGTAGGGAGCAATCTGCTGATGAAGGATAGAGGCCTAGGCCTAGCCGAAAGCTTATATATTTCAGGCAGTCCTATCCGGTTTACAAAAATTTTGAATATTCTGTTCTCGTTTTTCCCCGAAAAGATGAAATCTCTAGATTCAATCTCCTTTGTCAGTTAATAAATTCTAAGTACCCAGAAATCTGGTCAGTTCTAAACCCGGACTGAAGATAAACTCATAATTTATTCTGAGTCGAATCAAGGACTGCATCCCACGGACTGGTTATAACCTACGTATCCAGCAAAGTTTTCTGGTGGCCCTCCACGACCTTTACGGCAGTCTGGTTTTTTCGACTCACTCCATGTTTAAAAACCATTGCATTGTCCACAACCATTTTCTTAACTGACTGGATTCCTGTGTGCCTTGCTCCCAGTGCGCAGAAACCCTGCAATGAATGTGACAATCTTGAAGGGATACGAATTCCTGAAAAAAAAAAGCGTCTTGAAGGTTGACTGGTTGAATACACAGAAAACACACCTCTACCTTCCATACACAAAATCTTAGCGATTGTAAACGATTGTAAATGAATATGAAGGAAAAGGACGCAAATGGATTGAAAATCTTGACTACTGTCGGCCTGAATATTAAAACACAAGAACAAAACCCACGGGAATATGTTTTGTGTTTTGTTTTGTTTTGCTCTGTTTTGTTTTTTAACGGCTCCATTGAGTATGACTCATAGAAAATAAGACAAATAGCGGTCATAAACACTGTATTCCAATGCATTTTATATACAACTTGACGTTTCGTATGCTAGTCAACATACATGTTCAAAAGTGACCGTTACAATTGTTGAAATAGTGAATGTAAGAGGTTTGGAACCTAGACTGAGACAAAAAAGAATCTACAGCAGTAGAAGTCGAAGACCCAGTTGGGTTGGTACAAATGGGACACAAGGACCCATGCGAGGCACCACCCCTTACTGAGAGGCACTATGAGAGTAAAGCGTCTCGCCCAAGGGCACAAAGCAATTGCTCGGCCAGGTCTCGAACCCGGGAGGCTGCTTGATTTTCAATACTTACAATTTGTGTTCGAAACGGCACAATTATTCATATTATTATCCTAATGGGTTTCTGGGCCGTTGACAACCAACTCTTTCTCTTGTCACTACTGAACACTCGGCTAGATGCAAATAAATCATTCGTGAAGACAACGCACAAAACCATAGGTAAGAGAAAAAAAGCGGATTTAAGGATTGAAATAATGCGAATGCAATGTTCTTGAAACGCATCACTTAGATCAAGCCAAGATTACACTTGCAAACTGCAGCAGTTGTTAGAGATCTACAACCTAATAAAATATTACCTACCTCATGTCATGTTACACCCGTACCTACGTCACGAGGCCTAAAAAAATACACGTGATGACATATCAGCACTGTGTCAAAAAGGATTAAGTTTATTCTCGGTGCTCATTACCTCGATATATAAATATTCCGCAATGGCTACGCAAACAAAAAAACCAACCCATAAACCCGACTGGGAAGAAAGGTTCTGGGCAGAAACTCATCGAGGAGGGGCCGGGTTGGTTTGTTCCTGCCTAGTTGATTTTGGTCAAGCTATTCGTCATTCTAAGATCATCGTAAGTAGGCTTAGCCACACGTTGCTTGGCAACTTTTCGGCAACTTTTGAGATTTTCGGCAACTTTTTAGAATTTTGGCAACTTTTAGAATTTTCGGCAACTTCGGGCTTTTTGAGATTCTTTGAAGCCACTTTCTTCACGTTTCGAGCCACTTCGGTCAGTTTTCGATAGACATTTAATTTATTCTAAAATACAATAATTAGGGCCCTTCCCCCCAATGGGTTAATTTTTGTGATGCCTTGCCACGAAGTGAGCAGTATCACGTTGTACGTTTCTCAAGATGGCGGACAATTACAGTGATTCCAATACATCCAACTCAGATGAATCTGCAGATGAGGCTTTGACAAATAATGTTTTGATAAGAAGCAATGTGCGAATTTTTAATCTTTAACACCCTAAAAAGGTACGAAAAGCAGAAAATTTTTAGCAACTTTTCGGCAACTTTTTGGAAATTCATCAACTTTTCGGCAACTTTTTGAAAAAAATACCAACTTTTTGGCAACTTTTAGACACTTTTATTGGTAACTTTTATGGGATTCAACGGCAACTTGTGGCTAGGCCTAATCGTAAATGCAACATTAAACGATTAATTTCGTTTCAACAAGAAGCAGAATCTCTTAAATCCTTGATATGAAATCATGACCTTAAAAAGAATCTACCTCATCGGAAAATGCCCTATAATTATGCAAATTACAAGTCAATCTGTCCGGGATATATACTGTCGAAGATTTTTTTCATGGCATTGATCTCACAATTGCTCAGTTATCCATTCTGTTGTCTTTTGAGTTCAGCTGTTGGAGCTCTTAGCAGTGGACGATCGCCAAGGGCAGTTTCGTGAGAAATCATATGGACCGAAGTTCAGCGTAACGCAAAAAAATCTTCCAAAATTATTTCGTAATGTTGCACTGAAGTAAACGCGACGCAGGGCGAAGAATCAGCAGCTGATAGTTCGCAATGGCTCGATCGGATAGAAGCGTTCTTTTGCCTGGTAAGTAATTTCCTCCTATAAGTAACAATTATACGAGGAAATTATAGGAGCAGTGGGCCCGCAGTAATGGGCTCCTTGCACTAAGAAGTCACGTGATCTTCTCCGCCATGTTGGAGGGCAGACAAATCGGTTGCTACGGGAAACTGTGGCTGCCTCGTGGGGTCACGAAAGGTCAGTTACACAAATGTTTGCACTATTAGCTTCTTTATTTTGGAACAAAACGATCTTTATCCACTCGTCGAATTTGTATAATGTCCAAAGAGCTTCTGTGATCGAGCAATTGTATTCACTTTGACTTCTAACGCGTCGGGAACAAACGAATGGCAGGCGAAAGTTTATTTAAGCTTAATCCTATCAACTAATTGATTCATTCATTCATTTATTCGATTTTTCGCAAGAGTTCTTCTCTTTCTTTGGGTTAGGTAAAGATTGTCAAGAATTTTAGACTAGTTGCATGTCTACAAAATGCGAAACTTACCGAAGGTTGATACTATTTAGCTTTCTTTGATTGGACTGATTTTCTCAGTAATCCAACTGTGGACCCACACGTTTACCGAGTATAACCTTCATCGATGTAGAGAAATATGCAACACGTTCAACGGGATGTGAAAGCACTGCAAAAGTTTACAAATATTTTGCAGAACCAGGATATCTCCATAACATCAAAAGTAAGTGCACTGGTAAATAAATTGGTGTAGTCTCCTGAAAGTTGCTGATGTTTTCGCCTTTCATCTTATGAAACCATTCCTTAAAAAGTGGTAAAGACTGATCCTAATTAATTTTACAAATTTCAGTTACATATAGTGACTCGGAGGCATTTATTTTGGCCAAATGCTACAAATCGATGAAGAAGAATGAAACACCACATTCCCTTCAAGAGATAATTGGTATGGATCAAACAACAGTGTCTGGAAAGTGTTCTTGTGTAGCAGGTGTCGGAGGGATTTGTCACCATGTTGTGGGCCTTCTTTTTTACTTGTCACACTTTAAGCAACTTGGGCTAAAGAGCTTACCTGATGATCTGACATATACTATGATGGCGCAGCAATGGAATGTTCCCAGAGGGAAACACATAAATCCTCAATGTGTGGACACCTTGATGGTGAAGATGCCTCAGGAGGGTGCAAACTATAATAAATTCATTAAAACCACTCCGTACTCATCTGCATCCCAGTATCATATTCTGGGCCCTGATCAAAAAGCTAAACTCAAAAATCTAAATCCTTAGCCTTTGCTGTGGAGTTTGTTACCAGATCTGGAAAACTTTGCAAGCTCACATCTTACTTCTGTAAAAACCAAATTTGGAATGGTGCCAAAGGTGTCTGTAATATCTTACCAACAATGCAAGGCTCACAGAAAAATATGTCATAAATGGTTCTGCCCACACCTCATTCCCCAAGCTACCCCTTCCTAATGCAGGTTAAAGGTTTAAGAACAATGAGTCAATTTGTTTGAACAGCAACAAATCAGCAAAGTTAGAGTCACCGTCAGTCACTTTAGAGATGGTACATGCTTTAGACGAAAAAATGAGAGAACAGGATGAAAGTGACCTTTGATATTCATTAACAAAAAAAAGAATCACTGCAAGCAAGTTTGAACAGTGGCAAAGAGAATTTCTAATTTTGATACTCTTGTCAAACAACTTCAGCCATCTAGGCTTGTACAGACAGCTGCTATGAACCAGCTATAGAAATGGGGGGTAGAGCAGCATCCATGTATGCCATTAAAGCAAAGAAAGGGATGGTAAACTTGTACTCAAGTGGACTGGTAATAAATCCAAAATGCCCCTGGCTTGGAAGTTTTCCAGACAGGAAGGTTTAAGATATTGAGGCAGCTCAAAATGGTTCATCAAGTCCCTATGGCTTCTTTGAGACAAAGGTTGTCCAGGAAGGAACCTGNACTACATAACAGATCATCAATATTAAAACCCTTGTCAGCCATCACACTATTATTAGGCTCCAAAAGATCTAAAATTCCACAACACTCTGTGATCTCTTTATCTGAAATAGAACCAGTATATAATGAGGATACAAGTAAACAAACTTATTTTTTCTCACCTTCACTCAGAAATGTTTTATTCGCTACCATTCTGGAAACTAAATTGACTCGACTATCATCGCCTAACAATATCAACTTAAAAAATAGACAAAACCGGCGTTGAAAGGGAGTTAAAAAAAAAAAGATAGACATACCAGTTCGCAAAGTGCGGATTATACGAACGCGAAAACACGAGCAAATATGGAGCTTTCCGACAAATCAAATACATCAGTAGATCTGCAACTATTACAGTCGCTCTATTTGAGAGTTCCTTGTGGATAAAGATCGTTTTGTTCCGAAACAAAGAAGCAAGTAGAGCAAATATTTGCGTCACTCACCTTTCGTCGTCTCACGAGGCAGCTATTGTTTCCCGTAGCAACCGATTTGTCTGCCCTCCAACATGGCGGAAAAGATCACGTGACTTCTTAGTGCAAGGAGCCCATTGGCGCAAGCTGTTGCGGTGTCCCTGCCAGTCGGCGAAGCTATTAAATAAATAAATTACGGTGATAACCGGTCTTCTTCTGCTACAAATCCTGGTGGAATGCATTCAAGAGTTTTCACGAAGGAAGCTTTGGCTCACGCTGCTCGAAACTACCATGAAGATACTTATGACTTCGATGGAGAGTTTGAATTTGAGGGCAGGTATCACCGCCAGTGCTAAGTGTAATTTACAGAATGCCACAAACTTTTTTTGAGGTTCTCTTTATCTTTTTTATAAAAAAAAGTCACCCAGACAGGTTGGTTTAAAAAAAATTTCAAAATAAAGATGGCGTGCTGGGCTAAACTTCAGAATACCTGACCACTCATTTACATGTCTTTAAATAAGAATAGTGCTCTCTAGGTCAGCTGAGTTCGCCATCGAAAGAAAATTCGCAAATGGCATTTGCATTAAATTTTTTACACATATCAGAAAAATACACCAAGTTCTCTTAGTTTGATTTATCGTATAAAACACAACATGGGACTTTTACAGCATGAATTATCGCGACTTGTTCAGTCGTACCTTGATTCCTCAACCAGTCGAATGTAAATTTTGATCCGGTTCACCATATAGAAGAGAGTAAATTAATAAAAGCCACCTCATTCCGACTTGTAATATGTTTTCGTCCGCTAACCTTAAGCTTTACAAATAAGAAGTTAAAGAAAGACTTCGCTTGCGTTTAGGAAACTGATAATTATTATTGTTCTAGTTTAAAAGGAATAGTCGCGTGTAATAAGTATTTTTTTTTAATAACAAAGTTACCTTAAGTTAGCATTTGAATTTGTTTTCAAGGGGCGGGTGTCACCTGGACAACCCACATGTCCTCGCGTGTAATTAGGTTTAGTTGCTGGCAACCATGTGATGATTCTCGAGCACATGCTGTATACAAGATGGCGGAGTTTTTCCATTGTCCCAATCATAATGATGTGGACCTTCTTTCAAAACAGAATGCTTCCACATATAAAATAACAACAGTGAAAACCATACTGTAACTGATATTACTATTTTATTTTAGGAATACTTTCTCCGTGATATCGAACGACAGCGAAACGAACAACCTGAGTTTCACATTTCACTCTGACTAGCTTTTTAACGTATTAGCACTTTTGGAATCTTTTTGAGCAATATGAAATTTCGGGCGACATGACTCAAAATATCAGGCGACATGACTTTGAATTTCGGGTAACATGACTCTGGTTCCGAGCGACAAGACTTCGGGCGAGATGATTTTCGGGCGACTTGACCGTAAACCGTGGTTCTGTCCTCGTGTACCGGTTCACAAGAGCCAATACAAAAGACCAAACAATACACAATAGCTAACCGATAACTCCTAAACAAAGAAAGAACAATGGTAATTCCCTTGTGAACCGGTACACCAGGACAGAACCTAAACCGTACATAATATGCGCAAAGAAATCAGCTGGCGCGAAAAGTTAAATATCCCCCCTCTCCCCCCCTTCCTCAGCCTCATTGAGTGTTGGAAGAAATAGTTCATCGTAAGAGCAATCGATCTCATTACTTTATTTGCCCTCTGGGTATTTTTTAAACCTTTACTGAGTATGTTTCCGCTTACATTGTGACATTATCGAACTAGCTTTTACACTCTATTAATCTTTGATTCTTGACTTGCTTAATCATTTACGGTTCTAAGAAAGTTGGTTCAGGGTAATTTTCCGGGAATTGAACTACAAACAAGACGATCTAAGATCGTTAGTCGGGCTACAGGTAGACGTGCTGTTACGAGTGTTGAACATTCATGGTGCGCAGTGGTTATAAAAAGAAATACTAAGGGGTACCAAGGTCCTGGTTTGTGGGCGTGGTTTCACCCCTGAGAGGCACAGATTCTGCAACAACACACTGTCACAAATTTTTTGACACAATACCCTAAAAGGGATCACAGAAGCTGCTGCTGTGGACCTTTTGCGGCTTAAGAGCCCGAGAGGTACCAAACGTGCCTTTTTTAACCCCTAAAAGGTGTGACGAGCACTCCAGTCCTTTTCAATTAAGGAGTCCTCCCTTCCCATGGGTGATATGTACATGCCAATTAATGCATGTGTGAAGAAAGATATCATGAAACTGTAATCGTACTGATATGAATGCAGGGAAGTATATTTCATCGTGATAACATTGCTTATTTGAACTGACTGGCAGATGAAAGTGGAACCTACGGTAATCGTATTGAAGCTGATTTGAGACATCATTTATGTGTTTGGGGAGATTGGGGTCACTGTTCTGATTCAGGCTACAGTGAAGTTGTAAGTATTAGTTCACGATCTGTGAAGTCATCGGAATGACAGTTTATAAGGGCTAGTTTTTTCGCTATTAGAGCATATTGTTACACCATGGTCGGAATGAGATCTAAAAAGATAAGAAAGTTTAGGTAAATTTGCATCTTTTATTTTCAACGAACAAAATAAGATTTACCATGCTAAATTTTAGTGAACCACTGCATCTACTTGTTATTGTACTTAGCTGAAACAAACTTTAACTTGGACTGATATCTCATCTCCACAAATATTAAGATTTGTGAATAAATCTGCCGTTTTTAGACACCTGTTGTTACGAATTTATTTGGTCAGCTATGGAACATAGGAATAAAGGCTGAAAGTTTCTAAAGAAACTGTGGTGCTGTGTCAATGGAGGTAACAAGGTAGTTTGGTTATATCAACTAAGTTGAAATTGTAAATTGGCCACCGTAACGAGTAAAAAAGCTGACGTCTCGGGCGTTAGCCCTTCCTCAGAGCGAATGGAGTAATTGTGGGTTGACGGTGTGGGTTGATATGCATGCATGACGAGCTTTGCCCACCAAAAAAATTTATGCAAATTAGGCTAAGCCGGATCTGAGTTCCGCCTGGCAATTATTAACTGTAAGAGAAGATCTCAGTTCGCGCCCACTGCACGTTCAAGGTGTTGCGGATGAAGTTTCTGTAATTACTTTTTGGCACTTTTCGGCGTCAAAATTGCATAGTTTGGGTAACCCAAAACCCTTAAGCTGACCTTTCTTGTCATAACACGAATGTTTTCCAGAAAGGGACACGCGGTAATGTCGGTGTCTCTCGTGTGCAGGCATTTTTC